CGCTCATCAAACAGAATCCATCAGCTAGGCACAAACATAATTACAGTTCGCTGAGCTCCTTTTAGGAAACTCCGGCACATTTTATAGCCCATATACTTGGCCAGTTTATTAGGGTTAGAAGCAAAAGGGCTTTAAAGGCTGCCCACAATGGCTGTAGCAGATGCCATATGATAAATTCTTATGACTAAACAAATTACTGCTGTTCAAATAGACACTTAATTTAGAAGGACTAACGTATGTAATGAGCCAGGCCATAAGCATAATTCGTAATCATTGGATTCTTGGCTGACTTCAAGGACGCCAACAACAACAACAACAACAGCAGTAGCAACGACTTCTTGTCAGCTTTGCCCAATTGGCCGTATGCAAATGGCAGGCAAAGCCGCCGTACTCAAAAATGCCTTGGCTGCCAAACAAAAACAAAAAAAAAAGCGCTTCCCCAACAGCTGCCAAAATTCCACTTGGTGGGCGGCCAGGGTGCGGTGGGCGTGTTCGAAATTGTCCAAAAATGAAAATGTTGTCATTTTGTGCATTGAATTACGTTTATTTGATGGCTGGCTGACGGGCGGGCGGTCGGGCGGAGGCCATGCGACTCGCTGATTATCCGGCGTAACGACTGCGATTGCGATTGCGACTGCCACAGGGGAGATGGGCAACAATGCCTGCCCCAGCCACACTCCCCCATGATAGGTGTTCAGGTGTTCCGGCCGACAAACAAGGTGATTATGACACGACCTGGCCCCTCGGACGCGTTAATGGACTTCAAATATGCTCCGCTCCACGCCAAAGGAGCAGAAAAAAGCACCAGGAATTCGGGAAGGAAATGTTATTTAAATTTTCCTTTGTGCGGGGCTGGGGGTCCGAGCGGCCGGCCGCAGGACGTGACCGGCCAGGACTCTCAACCGCGTGGCTCATGAATAGCTGATGGCGCTCGTTGTGGCAGCTACAAATCAGCTTCAATATTGGTTTTTGATTATCGCCCCGGTGGGGGTGTCTGCAAGTGTGGTAGTGTGGGCGTGGCAGGCATGTACTGCATATTATCTTGTGACATTTTAATTAACATTTTTTTGCGCAGATTAAAATAAATTAATTCTGTGCCGTCTACATGCCTTCCGGTCTGCCCTTGACAACCCACCGCCCACGGCCCCGCCCCTTGGCGAGAGTACCCGTTGCCCTTTATCTATGCGATATACAAATTTTTACAGCTGACTAAATTTATATTGCGCATGCAAATCGTTTGCATAGCTGAGGCGGAAGCAACTGTTGCCGCTGCAGTTGCAACATTGTTGCCGCGGCCACCGTTGCGGCTGCTGCATAATTGTCTTCTGGCAATCCACAGCCACGATAAAGACAGCAAAAAAGTGCTGCACAAATTGTGAATGCTTTGGCCTTTATTTATTTATATTTTTAGTTCGTGCTCGCAGCGAATGGGGCGTGCCTTATGGCGGCTGCCTGTGTGGTCCTCGGACCAGTTTATCGATAAAAGCGAAAAACCTAAACACCGAACAGCCGAAAAAAACGAATAACGAATAACGAAAAACGTGAAAACTCAACAGCAATTTTTTGGTAAAAGTTTGAATGTTTTATGTGACAGGAGAAAGAGAAAGAGAAAGAAAGTGCCAGAGCAGAGCAGCAGCTGCTGTGCATCAAATTTTATATGAAATGTATAGAAAAGGAGTAAGAGGGAGCCAGGCAGGAGTGCTCGACTTGCATATACCCTGACTTGAATATACCTCAGAGTCAGAGTCAGATAATGGGCTAGGAATAACTCTGTCGCTACGAGGAAACTGGCCAGACGACAGCGCGTCGACGCCCATTTGTGTATAATGAGCGTTTATACCCTAGATTCCCAGAGTCAATGCAGTGCAGACTCGCAGCGAGTTCACAGTTGAGCAGCCTTTGCCATATATAGTTTCCAGTCCAGCTTAGATATTTTGTGAACTTTGCTTACATAATTGAGGAGTTGTTCCGTTTGTTGGGCTAGCCAAGAGTTATTTATGAAAGACTTCTGCAAACTCTCAATTAGCAATATCTCAAAGCCTCAAGTGCTCGCCCCTTTGGCAATTATCATAAACAACATTCGCTCGAGAGAAATTTCAGAGAAAAAGAAAACAACAAAAACTGGAGGAAGAAATAAAGAAAAAGTAAGTAAACCCTTTCAAAAGGAAGCCGAAGCCCAATACAAATCAAATTAACAGAGGAGAACTGCCTCCCTCTCTCTCTCCCTCTGTCTCTCTTTCTATCTAGCTGTCTATCTGTCTAGCTGTCGGTCGGACAGCTCGTCCGATGCTTGCGTCAGTTAGTTCACACTGTTTGGCTGATCTATTAACAGCCGTTCGGCATGCACTCCGCCGGTGCACCGGCGGAATCCCTGCTTTCGGCAGGGCGCTCATTATGTCTGCCCCATGCAACAATGTTGCAGCTGAGAAATGCTCAAGAGGCGGAGGAACAAACAACTTAAGCGCTTAACTTGAAGTTGAAGTTTTTATTTATTTTAAGTCTGCGGCTCCCCGCTTCCTGCCACCACCACGAGGGACGCAAGATGCGGGACGAGCCCGAAGACTTAATGATGCTCTTAACGACCCTCTCACTCGCACTCGCACTCGCACTCGCACTCTCAGCTCGCTGTGCAAATACATGTTGCAGGTCTATTTGCAACAGTTGGCAGTTGCTCCAGCCCCTCGAACGAGTCGTCGGCAGCCGCAAATTGCAAACGGAAAGTAGCTGAATAATCGCCGAGCCATTAGCCAAGAAATTGCAGTCAGGCAAGGACTATTGTGCTGCTCTCCATCTGACCAAGTTGTTCTCTTTCGTAGATGCAGACAGAGACGGAGAGAAACAGACAGAAAGATAGTTCAACTAGCGTGAATGACTACGAGAGAGCGGGAGAGAGAGAAATGAGAGTCTGTCAGAGTTCATCGCATGCGAAAGCTCTTGACATCAATTAGACATTGACGAAAGGAATTTTTGTACGTAGCCAGCAGAGTAGAAAAGTGTGAAATAATACGAATATTTAACAGGCATTAGCTAACAATCTAGCGTGGAGCAAGCAATTTCTCTTAGCACTGAGAACCTTACACACTTGGCCTCCACAGCCAATGGCCCGCATTTCCTGCCCCCGTTCCCTGCTCCATTCCGCCTGCTCTGAGCGCAGCTTAGTCTGCTTTTTATGTAGACATATGTATATATTTACATATGTATACATATATTTCTCATTTAGCTGTGCGCGCACTTGAAATGTGAAATATTTTTGCATAGCCACAGCAGCAACAGCCGCAACAGCAACGACACCAACAGCAACAGTTGCTGTTGTGGCATATATATTGCCAACTCACGCTCTCATTGAAATATCCCCACTCTCTATGTCCCTCTCTCTCTTATCCCTCTCTCTCTTATCCCTCTCTCTCTCTCTCTTTCGCTCTGACGATCTTCTTTCACTTTCTGCATACCGCCGTCGCTTTTGTTGTTGCTGCTGTTGCTGTTGCTGTTGCTGCTGCTGCAATTGTCATTGTTGTTGTTAATGTGTCTGTGGCGCGGCCTCGACAGTCTCGTCTGGGCGCATTATTAATGCAATTCATCCATTTCCATTGCTGCAGCGGTGTCTGCAACAATGTTGCAAATGTTGTGTACACAACGGCCAAACAACACACTTTGCCAGACACGACTGTTGCAGTTGCTGTTGATGATGTTGCTGTTGCTATTGTTGTTGCTGCTGTTGTCGTTTTTCCTGTTGTTGTTGCGCTGTCAACATTTTTTGCCACTTTGTTATTTTTAGCGCTTTTCAGTCACTTGGTCGCCTTCTGCTCTCTCTCTCGCTCTCTCTCTGTCTCGCTGACCCAGCCCTCTTCAACCCAGCCGCTCGTTTTCCACGTGTTGCCCCTTGAAACGTTGCCTGTCTTTGCATTTTACTTAGTTATTGTTTGTTTCTCTGGTTGTTGTTGCTGCTGCTGCTGCTGCTGCTGCTGTTGTTGTTATTGTTATTGTATGGCAACAAATTTGGTTTTCAATTGCTGTTGACGTGCGTTCCCTAATTTTTGCAATAAATAAGCAAAAAATTACACATACGCCACGTGAAACGCGCTTAATCTACAGACAGTAAACATTTGGATTCTTTGACCAAAAATTCAAGAGGGTATATTGGCTCTAGATATTGCCCAGTTTGACCAATTTCTGTGTGACATTCGCTAGTCTGCCCTTGTGGGCGTGGCAAATCGAGGCGCACCATATTTGTTTCACTGAATTAGAAGGCAAAAGTCTCTGATCTCGTCCAGTGCTCGACTATCGACCATGCCCGAACGTTCTCACTTGTTGTTATTGTTGTTTATTTGTTTGTTTGTTTATTTATCTTCTTGCTTTTGTTGTCAGCTTTCATTTTTGGCAATGGCAACGGCAGCGACTAAATGAATCAGAGAAGAAGCGCAGAAAATTGCGAATTTGACCTTCTGACCGCCCACGTAGATGTTGTTAATAATGCTAATGATGCTGATGCTAATGATCATGATGATGATGGTGATGGTGATGATGATGACACTTGGTGACTGTCACGAATAAATGTTGTCAATTGGCTAGCGATTTGGCAGCTGTTATTGTTTTCATTGCCCTTGTTATTATTGTTGTTGCTTGGTTGTTTGTTGCGTACAGCGAAAGCGGGCAAAATCAACAAAAATAACAGCAAATGTGCAGATAAAAACAGAGACTGCGAAAAACAACACACACGCACACACACACACGCACACACACACATGTAGACACTTCAAAGTGAACATGAAACTCAAGTGAAAACAGCAACAGAAACGTTCACAGTGAGCGTAAACTAACTGTGAACTAAATGCCACACAAAAAAAATAAAATAAAACTGACAGCAACAACAACAACAACAACAACGACGTCGTCGTTATGTGTGTCAAAGTAAAACGCAATTTATGGAATTTATTACGTGAGCTATTCGCGAATTTTTGCTAAATTTATTTTCTTGCACCAGTCACATAAGAGACAGCAAGGGGGCGTGGCCGCCAAAAACAGAAAAAAGGGAAATGCTGAAAAGAAAATGAAATAAATAAATAAAAACTACAATAAAAATGAATAAAACCTTTTTGAAAATTTCATTTTTTATGCAAGCAAAAAAAAATGGCTAAAAATTAAACAAAGAAAACATTGAAAAAACGCAAGAGAAAAACGATATGGGTGAAAATCTTTGCAATCATGAAATGTGGAATTATAGGAAACCCCCCCGACGGCAATCGCTTTAGCCAAGCGCAGAAGGAATGTAGAGAAACGCAGCTTACGAAACAGCAACAACAACAATAATAATAAAAAAAAACAACAACAGCTATAATACCAACAACAACTGTGAAAGTTAAGCATGGAGAAAAGAGCTTTGAGACCGAAAGCAATTATAAAGACTTTTTTGGGCTCATTTCTGTAAAAAAAATTGAGATTTACCTCCCAGAGATTCAGGCATTCGATACCTAAAAAGTGGCAATCCAATATATATTGGACATTTCAAACAGAAGAAAGAAACGACGAGGATAAGTATGAGTATGAGTCGTAATTCACACGAGGACCCTAATCAAATTGTTTGCCCAATAGTTTTTACACACGTAATTAACGCGATCGCTGCAGAAACAAGTGGAAAGCTGAAAAGGGGCACTATGTGATACTCTGTAAACAGCTGTGAGCCATAGCAGAGGAGGAGGATACCTCTTTAATGTAGGCTCTACATAGGCTCTCTCATATGTCCAATTTCCAACCCTATTTATTATCCATGGGATTTATATCAGTTTTCAATTTATTTATTTATTAAATTTATCCAAATTTGAGTTTTAGAATTTTAATAGCATGAATATTATGGGTTCGCCGGCTTATTTTATAACTCTTATCACCTTACTATGCCTCTGTTTTTATTTATTCAAAGCTGAAGCTAATCAATTTAAAATTGTAGGAGGTTTCGATGCCAACATTTCGGAAGCTCCATATACGGCCTCATTGCGTTGGGTGCGCAGAGAAGCTCATGCACTGGGCAGTGGACATTTTTGCAGTGGAACTATCATTAAAAATCGTGTAATTCTCACAGCAGCTCATTGTTTATATAAGTGGGTACGCCTGAGTGAAAAGGTTGCCTGTTCATTCGCTTCATTTGCTGCAGAAGGAACCCCACAGATGTTTCGGTTGTAGTGGGATTCAATTATCTTTCCCGCGTATGGCCGACGATGAAGAAGCTGAGAATCTCATATTGGACCTATCATGAAAAATATAATAATAAAAAAAGAGCAGTATTCGATATTGGATTGATATTCACAATTGAAAGTATAGAGCCCGTTGATGGGGCAGTCGCATATTTGCCCCTTAACACGTGGAAAATAAGCACCGGCACTAAATGTCTATTGTCTGGATGGGGTCGAATTAATCACGTAAACAAATCAATTTTACTATCCACTTTATTTTGATTTGGACATTGTTGCACGCGTGTATCGATACTAGACTTATCGATTACCCTTTTTCCTTTCATAGAATGAACGTAGTTGGCAACACTGCCTGCAGGCATTGTGGCAAAAGATTATGGACAGAAAAGCATGTTTTAAAATCGTTCGTAGATATAACGTATTGTGCACCCACTCAGGGTCTCCGACTGGGGCCAGTTATGGTGATTCAGGTGGTCCGCTGCGCTGCAACAATAAACTTGCGGGTGTTATCGTCGCCGGAGACCTCAAAGGTGTCGTCTTCTATGAAGATGTACGAACATTTTCGGTTGGATAGAAGAACGGACTAGTAGTGGAATAATGACGCTTGGCTCGTTTTGCATTGGAGGACACGTTGTTTTGGCCATCAGCGTTTGTGTGGCCACCATCTGCAAGTCCGGCATTCCACACTTTTCTTCCTGCTGAACCAAGGACCAGTTACTGACGATGACTTTTAAACCAGTAGGTTTATGAATTTCGTTCAGTTTGACAACTAAAGTTTCCAGATTTTTTAAATTCCAAATTTCATTGTCTGAATTGCCACAAAACAAATATTATGTCTCTAGTGCTAATATGGATTATTCATATCGTCTTATTTTGCCCGTTGACATCGGTGAATGCAGGTAAGCAACAGCTACATCATCTTATTAATGAATAAATGTATGTGCTCAATGCATACGTTGCTGATATCTAAGTGTCTATACAAATATGAAACCAGTCGAAGTCGCTCATCCTTCAAACGGATTCTAATTTTATATGATTGATTAATAGTTCCATATTTCATTAAAAGTTGATTTGGCAACACTGAAGTTTTAATGTTTTAAAGCTCTAGGTAATAGTAGTACCAAAATCATAAACGGGTTTTCTTGTGACGTTAAGGAGGTGCCCTATCAGGTCTCACTGCGCTATGTACCTAGAGAACGAAGACGATGGGGCAGTGGCCATTTTTGCGGTGGAGTTGTTATTAGCAACCGTGCGATTATCACAGCAGCTCACTGCCTGAGGGAGGTACACGCGAATGAATCTTTTGGCTGTTATTCTCATATTCTTTTCTTCTGCAGAAACTTACGAAAGACAGAAGTAGTCGCTGTAGTAGGTAGCACGTTACTAGACGACAAAAGTGCTACAACGAAGGTGCTGAAAATCCGAAGTTGGCGCATTCACCAGAGATATATTAGACCTCATAACGATATTGCGTTGATCTTTACTGCTGAAAACATAAAATTCATTAGTGGCGCTATCGAGATTCTGCCCCTTAACACAGGGGTATTGGCCGAGGGTACCTCATGTCTAATATCCGGCTGGGGTCGATACAATCACGTAAATCACGAAATTTCATCCATCGATAGTTACACTAATCGAGTGCAAATCTCCAATTAAGCATATTCCACACAACACGAATGATCTGAGGGCGCTATGGATACAGATTGTCAGTGACGAAGTCTGCAGCCGGCTCTATGGTATACCTAAAGTAATTTGCGCTGGCGATGCGTCGACTACTGGGCCCAGCTTCGGTGATTCGGGTGGCCCGTTGCGGTGCGAAAATCAATTGTCGGGTATCGTCTCTGTGGGAAAGGAAACAGGTGGTCCGACCGCGTACTCAAGTATTCGGGGCTTTCAATCTTGGATACGAAGTGAGCTCGATGCCTTCAGTGGAGCTCTGCCACTGCGACCATCTTGCATCCAGAGACAGGTTGTTTTGCTCATCGTCTTTTATATGGTTACGATATGAATCAATCTGTAAGTGTATTTGCATTCTTTGATAACTGACTCTGCCGGCAACCGAAAGAAGCTATTTCTCGGCTCATTTTCAGGCTCTACGCAATAGCACATGTGGAAGTGAAGAAGTTCAGGTATGTAGAGGCTGCTGGTATGTGATTTGTGTGTAACTGGCTCTTATCAGTGGATCAGTCAGAGTGATGAATCTAACATTTAGTAAAATCTATTTATTTGAATTTAATTATGAAGGAATATTGAAAATGAAGTCATGCAAAGCCCAACCCATTGGCGAGCCCGTTGGTAAGTTGAAAACCTTTTCAGTATACGTATCTCGCTTAAGCCAACTTGAAATAGCTTGCTGGGAAGGCGCAGTGGGCGTGGCTGGCGCATTTATAATCCCCAGGCCAATTCGAAAGGTGTCCTAGGCTCTTCTTGTATAAAGCATTGTTACTGTTAATGATCCATTGTTGTCTTTAGCTCTTTGATTATTTATATTTATTTTTGCAAGCTTTGTTTTCCTTCGGCTCTTCAGCTGCGGTGCAATGATTGTTGGTATCTCTGTGTGGCAGCTGCTTGCGACTTGTTCATGCAACCAGGCAACACGCAACAAAAACAAGAATAGCAATAACAATAACAACTACTGTTTCCCTTTCACTCACTCTCTCTCTCTCTCTCTCTCTCTCTCTCTCTCTCTCTCTCTCTCTCTCTCTCTCT